GGTTCGGATGAAGAGTCAGACGATGATATCATGCAGCAGATGGAAGGCGACGTATTGGAATGGCTGCAGTACTGTCGTATCGTCGAACGCGTTGTGAGAGATTATCTCTCACCGAGAAGGGAGCAACGATTCTTATTTCCTACGACACGCAGCGGACATATTTTCATGTTGCAGAATATGCATGTGTACCCCCAAACATGCTTCCAGGAGTTTCGAATGTATCCTCCCATGTTCGCACTGTTCACTCATACCCTTCGCGATCATTACGGATTGACGAGTAGTTCGAACATAGATATATTTGAACAAGTTGGAATGTTCCTATGCATTTTAGCACACGGGAAAGGATATCGCCAAGTTCAAACCCTGTTCGGTCATTCTTTACAAACCATTTCGCAGTATTTCAGGCGTGTCCTTCGCTGCGTTGTTGCACTAGGAGCCGATATTATAAAACCACACCACAGCTACAATGACGGCGTGCTTCATCACCGACCGAACCATGGCCAGTATCCACTGTTTCAGGTTAGGTCCTCCCTATCATTTGCGTAACAAAGTGCTCATTTTCTTTTTTAAATATTTTGTTGGTGAAATGTTGTTTTGCATGTAGGACTGCATAGGTGCGATTGATGGCATGCACATTCGCGCGATTTTGCCTCGACATACAATGGCAGACTTCATCGGCAGAAAAGGATATCCAACTCAGAACGTGCTCGCCGTTTGTGATTTCAACTTGTGTTTCACGTTCGTAATGCCTGGAACACCTGGCAATGCCCACGACAGCCGTATTCTGGCTCGTTGCGTCCATAGCCCGGATGTGAGTTTTTCGGAACCGAGGAATGGAAAGTACTACTTAGTGGACTCGGGTTTTGCACACCGACCGGGGTACATGGCCCCCTACAAAGGATCCGACATACGGTATCACTTTCAGGAATTTCAGAACAGCAATGGTGGCCGACGGCGTTTCCGAAATGCACGCGAGAGGTTTAATTTCCATCACTCCTCCTGTCGTAATGTTATTGAGCGGACCTTCGGCGTTTGGAAGCAAAGGTGGAAAATTCTTGATCGAATGCCGAGCTACTCGTTCAGAGCGCAAACTTTTGTTGTCGTGGCAACGATGGCCGTTCATAATTTTTTGCGACGACATGGAAGCCTCGACGAAGGATTTCGCAGAGCAGAGGAAGCGGAGGACGAGGAAGTCGAGGTCGATCTCCCAACTGAGGACGACGAATTTGCTGGCGAAGAGCATGCAATTGGGGAAGAGGATGTACCGTGGACACGACTTCGTGACTATATAGCTCAAGCCCTTAAGTGATATTTTCATCCGAAACGGGGGACGCCGTTAAAAAGCTTGGGTTATGTAAACGTGAAAAACTTGTCTGAATTTGAAATAAGTGGGTCCTACCTTGTCTTCTCATTAGTGTTTGTCTTCTATGAAAAAATAATGTGTTAATTACGGCCACTATGAGTAGTTGGGATGTCCAAGTGGTAATGTTGTGGTTTGCAAAAACGTGGTAAGTTTGAAATACATGGGTCCTACCTTGTCTTCCTATTGTATATTGTTTGTCTTTTATGGAAATTTCAACTCTCATAAATTGCGTCCAGTAGGGGTAGTTGGCAGCCCAAGGTGGTAATTTTGTGTTTTGCAAAGTAATATGCCAGACGATGTGATTTCTGAATTGTCAGGTTGTGGGGCCACGTTTCATGTTGAAAATTGCAAATAATGTAATTTAACTTGAGGAAATGGGGGCCAAACGTATGCTAAATAGCATGGACACCCTGATTCGTTGTCCAATTGATTCATGTCACCTAAATCGTTGATGATCTCTAATAATGATGACTATTGGATACAAGAGTAAAATTGTCTGTAATAGACTAGAATGCTAGAAAAAGAAGTGGTTGGAGACTACAAGTGCTTAAAATAATAGGTTGATGGCCTACATTATACATTTTCAATTTGTTTGGGACCCCAACTATAATTTCCCATTTATGAAAAAGAAAAAGATTAAATATCATACGCACTTATTGACCTTTCATCGAAACGTCAATTAGGCGAGTCAAAGTTATCTCATCCTAAGTAGATCACATAACTTTAATTTGGTTTCAATTATATTATTAAACTTTAATGTAGTTACTTAATCACATCTTCCAATTTGATGAAAATTGCTTATTTGAGAATCATATTGCAACAGATCTTCCATTTAGCCCGTGGTCGATAGTGTAGTGGCTATTTAAGCAATTTTCGAAGTAAAACAAACTCTCTTAAAGTGTTACACGTGCGAGACAATTTCTAACATGTGACACACAAGTGCTACATGTATGTTCACTCTTCAGTTTTTCTTCCTTTCCAGCATTGAAGAAAAATGCACTGTAAAGTACAATGTCACGCCATTCATAAACCCTTGTATCAATAAAAATCCTCTATCTCATAGCAAAATCATTGATTTTTAAAATCATGCAAATTGATGTTATGTGGGCAGTAAATGGGGGGAAAACTTAAACATTAAAAGATTCGATACTACAGATGCCTATCCATTCAAAAGACAGAGATTGAATAATTAGTTTATGAAATGTTGGAGAATGGAATCATCCAAGCCACTAACAACCCATTTGCATCACCAATCCTTCTAATCGAAAAGAAGGATGGGTATTAGAGATTTTGTGTAGACAAAATGCAGCTTAATAGTCTAACTATCAAGAATAAATTTTCCATGCCAATTATTGACGAATTGTTTAGATGAGCTCAAAGGATCCAAGTACTATTCTAAGATTGACCTTAGAGCTGGTTATCATCAAATAAGGATCACTGAACAAGGCATACACAAAACAACCTTTAACACTCATCAAGGGATATATGAATTCAAGATGATGCCATTTGGCCTCACTAATGCCCCGGCCACATTTTAGAGTCTTATGAATGAAGTATTCAAAAATCAACAGAGGAAGTATGTATTCGTCTTCTGATAACGTCCTAATTTTCAGTCTTGATCTAAACACACATTTCGAACACCTCATAACTGTATTAGATATTCTATTGAGGCATTAGTTTTATGGAAAAAGATCCAAATGTAGTTTTGGACAAGCACAGGTGGTATACTTGGGTCACATAAAATTAAAGCAATGCAGCTATGGCCTGTTCCTAAGAATGTCAAACATTTGTCAAGAATTATGGGATTATAACCAAACCCCTTACTGAATTCGTTAAAAAGGACAACTTCCAATGGAATGATTTAACAGGCGTAGCCTTTGAACAATTGAAGCAAGCTATGAGCACTACTCCCGTACTCGTCTTGCCTGATTTTAGTAAACCTTTCACAATAGAGACTGATGCATGCCAGAAAGGAATTGAGGCTTTACTGATGCAAGACAGGAGACCTTTGGCATATCCGAGTAAAGCTATTGGAGTTAGAAATATGGGATTGTCCATATATGAGAAGGAATCACTGACCTTAGTTACAACAATAAGCAAATGGAGATATTACTTAGAAGGCCGCCACTTTATTGTGAAAATGACTATCAGCCCCTCAAGTATCTACTAGATCGAAGGATTATCATTCATCTTCAACAAAGATGGCTCACCAAATTGCTAGGACTCAGTTATGAAATCATATACAAAAGAGGAGTTGACAATGTGGTAGCAATTGCCCCGTAAATGAGGCATAAGTAATTCCCAAAATGTTCAAGGATTGCAACTTTGATACCTGCATGGATGCAGGAAGTCATCGATAGTTATATAGGAGATGAGTTAGCAGAGGAAAGATTCAACCCTTATTAATGTTGGAATATAGTGGTGTTAATGAAACCGGATTATCGCATACCGTATATGTAGTTTAGATACTGATTTTAAGCATACAGTATATGCAATTTATCATATTTGCAAGAAGTTTACATTATATGAAGCTTACCGTATTTGCAGGCAACTTACCGTATTTGTAGCTTACTGTTTATGCTGCCTACCGTATTTGTAGCTTACTACATATGCTACATACTGTATATGCATTTGACTGGATTTGCACATATTTTCTTTACCCTTTTCATATGTACCGTATTTTCACATACCGTATTTTTACTCACATAAAAATACCAAAATTACATAATATATTTTTTTCAGATTTTTATTTTTTAACATAAATAGAAATTAACGCAGATTAATTTTGATAAACATCAATAGAAAAATAAAATAATAAAATGGCAAATTATATGAATCACATGGATAAACGCTAAATAATTAAATCTGCAAGAATAAATTGAAAAGGTATAATCACAAAATAAATAAATAGTGGATTGATTTTCAACCCGAGGCGCCCCCTCATCGTAAATGCTTGAGGTCTAATCAGAGCGTTTATTTTCCAAGATACAACAATAAAATCCGTAAAATTTGATCACCACAGATACTACTCCGACAAACTGGCTAGTATCCGAACAATATCACCACAATGACGACGCTGAACAAAAATCAAGATGTAAACTATTTTCTCCTATTTTCGTGTGTGTTTCTGCATGTGCTGGAACTGCTGAAAAAATGACCTTATGTAAGTTTAAATCTGTCTATTAACTCCATAGCAATAAATACTGGAGTTGCTTCAATTTATGGGAGTTTTGACAATTTTCGAAAACTCAAAGGTCAGCTGAAGAAAGAAAAAAATTGTAAAACATGGACACTCCAAATGGGCCAATTTTTGCTCCGTTCGATCCGACATTCGTGTATGCAGGTCGTGCCTGTTTAAGTTTCGAAAGCAATTTCAATCCGTGATTTGCACCTCCTGCGCGTGCACGTAGAGAAAGTCTGTATACTACACATGATTACACCATTCCAAAGTGTAATCCTATATAAAGTGGTTCATACTTTCTTCATTTTCCTATATGAGACTAGTTTTATTTCCCACATAAACTATCTTTCAATGGTAATCTTTCAGCTCCAATTTCTCATTCATCCATATATCCATTTTGGCAAATAAATATATGATTTCAATGCTCTCACGGAAGAGAAAACGGATCAACTTTGATCTTCCAAATTGGACCAACGGGTCCACCGAAAATCTTGCCAAAAGTGAGTCATTTACTCATTTTTTCCAACAATCCCCCACATGAATTAAAATTGGAAGAGACATGAAACCGTGAGATATAAGACTTGGTGATAAAGTTCAAGGGTTGAAGTCTACATAGGATAGATAGGTATTACCCTTTGAACCTTTCCTTGTGAAAGTATATTTACATTACTAGCTGACTAGTAGACGTGTTGTCCTTGAACTGTTCTGCCATTTATGTAAATGATGATATACTCCACACATGATTCTTCCGAACACAATTCAGTTCTCATTATTATGTTCGTTTTGGCCATAAACATATGTTTGGTTCTGTGAGACTTCTTAAGAATTGAACCTCACATAATTCTCTTAGAAGCGGCCTCACTTCTCTTTCACATGGATGATTTTTTATTACAAGTAACCCGCATTAGTTGGCTCAATTTTCGACGCATAAGAATCATTAAAAACCTATTGCTTAACATTCATCCTTACGAACATTACTGTTACATCATAGGAATGGACAGGAGGAAACACCCCCCCACAGTGATTTTATTAAACATTTACAATTAGGTTGTTCCGTTGAACCTAGATCTTAGGATCTCCAATCAACTAGATTGCGTTTCCTTTGTAATGACTTATTCATTCAAGGGCTTAAGTCTCATTTCTTTCGATGACTTCCCAACTAACTCTCTATTTATCCCTTTGGTTAGCAGATCCGCATTGTTATCTGTTGACCTTACATAGTTAATAGTGATAACTCCAATTGAGAGTATTTGTCTTATGGTATTGTGTCTTCGACGTGTATGTCTAGACTTACCATTGTACATGTTACTCTGTACCCTTCTTATTGTCTTAGGGTATTGTGTCTTTGACGTATATGTCTAGACTTACCATTGTACATGTTACTCTGTGCCCTTCCTATTGATAATTGATTGTCACAATATATGCAAATCGTTGGCACGGGTTTTAACCATCTTAGGATATCCTTTAAGAAGTTGCGCAACCATTCGGTCTCTTCAACACATTTATCTAGAGCTATAAACTTAGATTCCATCATAGCTCTGGCTATAATTATTTGCTTAGAGAATTTCTACGATATAGCAGCACCTCGTAATGTGAATACAAATCCACTGGTGGACTTTGAGTCTTTTATATCAGATATCCAATTAGCATCATTGTATCCTTCAATGAACACTGGATATCTGGTATAATATAGTCCATAGCCACAAGTATATCTTAAGTAGCTTAGTACTCTTACTATTCCTTTCCAGTGATCTGCTCCTGGATT